GTTTCCGACTCATAGCAACCCGATGCACAGCATAACGAAACACTGCCCGATCCCGCGCCAGCCCCACAATCCCTGCTATACTCGAGCCCATCATCTCAGCCACCGTATCAATCCACCTCGTTGAAGGCCTCCCCCTCTTTCGTCGACCCTCCATGTACGTAGGGTCACTATGAATTGGAACCAATTTAATGCCACCTAACAACAATTACCCTAGTCTGCCACTATGAGTCAGAGCTGCCTACGTGGCAATGGGTTTGGTTGATCCTGGCCCAGAAGAAGCCCAAGTGGTGCAATGTTAAGCACTGGGCTTCTAACTGAAAGGTCAGCAGTTCGAACCCACCAGCATCTCCACTGGTGATCTGCTCCTGTAAAGATTACAGCCTGGAAAACCTTATGGGGCAGTTCTGCTGTGTCATGTGGGGTAGAAATTGACTTGACAGCACCCAACCCCAACAACCCTAACCACCCCCTTTGGTTTCCAAACTTGTTGCTCATTGGTACTGTGGGTGTTTCTTTTACTTCAAGCATTCATATGTTGTTTGGGCCAAATACTGAATCTAAGAGGAGACTTCAGAGAACTGAATGACAGAATTCCTTTCCCTCACATTTTGCAAAAAGCCAACTTGCAGAGTTGCTGCTGCCAAATCAACTTTATACAAAACAAATAGAAGCCCGAACGGCTGTCTAAAGAGGATTTATAATAAAATGGAAAATTCTTGGATTGTTCTGTCAATTTCATTCAAGATTAAAGGATAAATGCAGGGCTTTGTGGTATCCTCAGAAGCTATCCTGTGTCAAAATGATGCCAACCAACATGGAAGCTCATTGTGTAATTTAACAGTATATAGCACTGCTGTATTTTATACCTATTTTTGTTGTTCTTTCTCTCTAGGGAAGCCAGCCTTGATGTGACAGAAACAGACCTGAACTTGCTGTCAAAAAGACCAAGCTTTGAGTTTTATTTCAGTTAGTTTTACTGTGATCTTGGGTAACACACTGATGGCAGCTTTGGCTTTCTTAGTAACCAGGGATCAACAATCCTGACTAACAGCAATTTTTATTCATTTTATTAGCTCCTTACTCTTTGTTATAGATATCTTCAAACAAAAAGATAATAGAGGAATTTAATGAACCCAATGTGCCCCTCACTAGCTTCATCCACCTTTTGCCGAACTCCTTCTCTATCCTCACCTCATTGTTTTCTCCCTGATGGAGTATTTTAAACCAAATCCAAATGTAGTATAATTTCACCTGCAAATATTTCAGTATGTATCACTCACTTAAGATCTTTATGAAAGTGCCATGATTCCATTACCGTATGTAAAAAAAATTATAGTCGTTCTTTTATAACATCTAAGATCTAGTCAGTGTTCAGATTCCCCAGTTATCCCCAGAATGCCTTTATGTAGTTCATTTGTTTGATTCAGGAACCAAAAAAGATTCAGATATTGCATTTGATATATGTCTCTTACGTCTCTTACCAGACAGAAAACCCAAACTTGTTGTCAAGTTGATTCTGACTCACAGTGACCCAGTAGGACAAAGTGGAACTGTCCTATCGTGTTCCCAAAGCTATCATCTTTACAGAAACAGACTGCCACATCTTTCTACCATGGAGCAGCTGGTGGTTTCTAACGACTGACCTTACAGTTAACAGGCAAGTACTTGACCACTGCACTACCAGGGCGCCTTCTTCGTCTTCTTCTTCTTTTAATTGTGATTTGGGTGAAAATTTACAGAGCAAATTCACCTTCCATACAGCAGTTCATATACACTGTGTCTCATGACATTGACTACAATTTACCACAATGCAACAGCTCCCCTCACCCTTCCTCGCGATAGTTCTCTCTTCCCTGTGTCCATCCCTCCATGCACTCCTGCCCCCTGAGCTTTCTCCTTGTGCATAAACAGCTCTTCTTTCTCCCATGATTGATCTCTCCAAGGAGTGTATCTACCTCAGGTAAATGTTCAACTCATATGCCTGTGTTTTGTTTGGCTGGAAGCTACAGGTATGGGTTCAATTCCAGACCTGAAGGACAGCTAGGGGCCATAGTCTCAGTGATTACACCAGGCTCCATTGGACCAGCAAACCTGGTCTCAGAGCTCCTTCTTAAGTCTCTTAATGTATGGTAATTCCCCTCTTTTCTTGTCATATTTCTTCATACAGGTAATTTGTTAATTTTCCTCATATTGTTAATTTTTTCATATTCTAGATTTGGCTGATAGTAATCTTTCTCCTTGTAGTCATTGAACATTTATTTTCTTTCTCGTATCTGCTGTAGTTGGGATATAGAGACTTGATTAGATTCAGGTCCATTGTTGGAAGGATATTTCATAGGTGGTGCTTTATGTTTCTGATGATATCATATTTAGAGGACATAATGTCTGGTTGTCTGTTTTTTAGTTACTTTAGAATTGATTAGCGACATTTCTCAGATTAATGTAGTCCTCTTAATCTTTCATCTGATGTTTTCTTCATTAGTTGATGGTTCTTGGTTAAATATATTACCTCCTAAGGGTTGCATAATGTAGGTTTTCTAATCCTATCAATCTTTTTGAATTTATTAATTAGAATTCTATAGAAAGTTTTCTCTCCTCAGCAATTTTGTGGCCATGAAATACATTCCATGCAGTAAAGACATGATGAGAACTGGATCCCTTTATTTGCCAGTTTTGTAATCATGGTGACTTCTTCCCGTGAGTTGGTGCCAACTTCTAAAGGTGAATAATGAGGGATGGTGGTGGTGGTAATGGTGGTATTTCTCCCGTCATCTGAATTTCAGGGAATTAAATTTTCTCACATTTTTCATTTCATCACGTTCTTGTTCAAGTCGGCCTCTGTGCCTTACTGAAGTGGATTTGATCACTTTCTTCCTTTTTGAGATGACAAGATAGGCCAGGCTTACCTTACAACTCTCTTACCCTGGACCTGAGTTACCCAATTTTTCCAGAAGTCCTAGCTCTTTTTATTTCCAAAAGTAGGAAATGGTACATGGTGACCATAGTCTGAATGCTAGAAGTTCAGATTGTTACTAGCTTGTTATTATTTCTAGGTTTTTCAGTGGATGAGGTTAGAATATACATTAAAAATCACTTTATGCTGATAATTCCACAGTAGATGTAGAGTTTTTATCTCGTGTCTTTGTTCTGTGTTTGTGTGTGTGTGTGTTTTATGTTGAAAATCTCATTTCCTAATGATGTTAACATCATTGCTTTATCCTAATACGCCCCCACCCACATACATATAATGTTTTAAAACAGCAACAAAGTACCAATATTTTCATTAATGTAGTTTAAGAATGCTGATGAATACAGTTCAACATATTTTTTCAGTTCTTGTTGTTCTTAGAATATAACCTATCAGGGATAAACAGTCTCTAGTATGAGTTTTAAGGAGCTCCGGTAGCACAATGCCTAAGGCATCTGACTGCTAACCAGCAGGTTGGTGGTTCAAACCCACCAGCCACTCTGTGGAAGCAAGACTGGGCAATCTACTTCCGTAAAGATTTACCACCTCAGAAACCCAAGGCTGTAAACCTTGGATTGCTGTGGGTTTGGTTTTTATGGTTTAGTATGAGTTTTAAAGTCATTTGAGATAATTTATGGGGTTGTGGCCACAACTTCATATGTAGTTAGGTACATTTGTTTCTTATTCTTTTTATTTTAGTGGATTGTGGGTTTTTTTTTTTTTTTCTTATTGGGTTATAATGAGATAAAATATTTACAGCCAAAACCATAAAACACAAAATTTTCCCTTCCTTTCATTGTTCCCTCCCTTCTTATAGAAAATATCACGCTCTATGTATTATTTTCTGCACCTTGCTTTTCCTGTATGTTAGAGATGACTCCATAGAAGTGGAGAAGGTATTCACCCAGTCCTCTTTTTGTGGATATTTCGGGGTTTCTTTTTCTTTTTTTTCCCAGCCTTTCCTACACCAAATAGTTCTTCAATGAATAGCCTTCACAGGCTATTTGAGAATTAAATAAAATGCAGTATCTTAAAGCGTTATGTAAGGTAAAAGTAATGTATGTATGTGCATGTGTCTGTGATTTTGTCCTATTGTTTTATTTCCACAGCCTTTTGTTAAGCACTTTAGTGTTCCAGGAACTAGAGGTGTAAAGATGAATAAGACATGACCTTTGACCTTAAGGTTTTACAGTCTAATAGGACGTGAAATAAAAAAGGGAAGCTTCTCCTTTGTCCTTCCCAGTTTATTTCATTCTAAAATTTTTGATCCGTGATTTGGATGGCATTGCTTTTGTATTCCTGGATTTATACAGAGATACAGATGTCTCTATTTACATATAGATGAGATGATTTACAATGTTTTCTCGTATATTTGATTACAGTGGGAATACAGACCGTCTTTCCGTGTATAAATCATAAAATCACATAGGAAGGAAGTCAGCGGTGCTCAACTTCACACTCATATTTCCCTGAGGCCAGAGTTGGACTACTCCACAATGACATCAGTAACAGTGACCACAGACGTTTCCCCGAGGGGTAAGAAAGAAGTTAGTGCTGCTTTGTATGAGTCCACGTCGGCTCACATAATCGAAGAAACAGAATATGTGAAAAAGGTACGTGGATGCTTTCTAGGACTTCTTAAAGCAAATTCTAGTGTTGATTGGTGGACTTTGTTTCCCTCTTTAACAGCACGTGTGAGGAAAAATAAGCCTCCTTTGACAAAGGATGGTCTTCCTACCTGAACTTGGATACACATTTAATAATTTCTCTTAATGATATGAAGCCCTATTCCGACACTTGGAGTAAAATCATGATCTTCCCTCAGTAAAATTGAAAACTGGGCCAAGAGGGTTCAGAACACCTACCAGCACTTAATTTGTCCCATGCTCTTCACCACTGGATTTCCTACCGTTTTATGTCTTTTCCCAGTTGTCTCATGAGCTTTGACTGTGTTCCAAAGTAGATGTGTATGTTTCCTGCTGTGTTTGTGTCTCTTGTTACCTTGTTCCTTTTCACAGTTCAGGGTAGGTATTGCCAATGAATACATATGGGCAAGTTACTTGATTCAAAATGTGAAATCTGATGAGACTCCAAGATGATAATGACTGACGGAAGCATGTATTCTTTAACTCTCTCTTAAAACATGTGGAACGTTTCTGACATTGGTATGCAGTAACTTGTTCAGATGAATTCATTCATTAATCTTTGAGTGTTTTGCAATTCCATAGGTCATCAAGACATGAAGCCTATATTTTATACATAAATTTGCATTATCTCCTCTTAGTAATTATTCTGTAGTAATTACTAAATAGCAATTATTTTGTACTAATCACTAGATAGTAATTATTCTGTTCTAATTATTTTGTAGTAATTACTAGATAGTAATTGTTTTATACTAATTACTAAATAGTAAATAAGTACTAAACTACTATATAGAAAAAGTAGAACTAAATAGTATTAAATACTAATTACTGAGCAGTAATTATTTTGTAGTATATTGTGTACCATAATATTAATTTATCACATTTTAGGTTTGACTGAGGAACAGTTTTAAAAACCAAATGCTTATTTTTTGGAGTTTAAACAGTTTTAGCCTAAATGGAAGTTAGGTTGATGGTGATGACTTAGATCCGAGGGCTAGTGTAAATGCATGACTTTCTAGATAAATCAAGAAGTTGGAAGCATAGGGAATAAAGTCTTTGACATTACATTCCTTTGAAAAAAATTTATTTTTCCTCCAGATTCGAACTACTCTGGAAAAGATCCGAAATCAAATGTTTAAAGATGAAGTTGGACATAACAATACAAATAACACATTAGATGCAAAGGTAATGAATTCATCAGCTTTATGACTTTTATTCCTTCAGAGAGAAACATAAAGCCCTATAGACTATTTAATTTGTTGTTGTTGTTAAGCATCAAATTACTCTTTAAAGCTTCAGGTGATGAATGCTAAAATATTTTGGAGGCATCTAGAGATGTTAACAGCTGGATGTGAGAAATGTTTCATGACATATCTCATCAGTAGGATCAGATTGGAATGACCAGACCACACTTGAGTATTTTAAACAGGGTTTACTTATCTAAGCAGTCCCTGGGTTGTGCGAATGGTTAATGCGTGTGGCTACTAACCAAAACATTGGAAGTTCAAGTTCATCCAGAGGCACCTCCAGCGGGGTAGGATGGGAGAAGAACAAAAACAACCTGGTGATCTATTTCAAAAAACCAGCCCTTAAAAACCCTACGGAGCACAGTTCTCCTCTGAGAACAGACGGAGTTGCCATGAGTTGGAGTCAACTTGGCAGTGACTAGTTCACATATCTAAAGTATATGGGAAGATGTCAGCCTGGCCAGGATGCATGGCATCAACAGTTTCCAATGACAGATGGAGATACAGTCTTTTAGACTCAGCTGAACCACACCAGTGGGCACACAGTGGGGGCTGTTAGATCTGAGTGAGTAAGGACCTTATCAGACAATCAATAAGCTTAAATATACCACCCTCCACTCCTACCCCAAGGCAAGCATTATGTACTTAAGGCCAATCCATCTGCACTTGGCCTTTTCTGGTTTATGCAAGGGTAACTTTTCTCTGAGCCAAGTGTAGTGTTATCCACTCTGCGGTATGGATACAGACTACACCAGCGTATAGGATGCAACACAGAAGGGAAAAGAAATCTCGGGCAAATCACACCAACATACAACCACAAATTCAACATAAATAAAACACCACAGTGTCTCAAAGACAACAGACCATCACAGTTCACACACACACACACACACACACACACAAGAGAAAATAGTAGAAACAAAGGACTAGGATACAAACCCAGAAAACATCCCTGAGGAAGAAGCAGCATTGGAACTCCCTGATAAGGAATTCAAAAGAATTATATTTAGATACCTTCAATGGATTGAGAGACAAATCAAGGAAAACACTGACAAGATCAAGGAAAACAATGACAAAATTAAGGAAAACACAGAGAAAATGCTAGAACAATTTAGGAACACAATACAAGAACAAATTGACAAAGTAAACAAAAAATTAGAAATGATACAAAAACAACAAATAGAAATCCAGAAGATTAATACTAAGATTTCAGAAATAGATAACTCATTGAATGGACAAAGAAGTAGAATTAAGTCAATGGAAGACAGAATTAGTGAGTTTGAAATGCCTCAATACTGCTTTGTTAAGGGATCAATCAGAAAAAGATCAAAACAAAATGAAGAAAGCCTAAGATTCACATGGGATACCATCAAGAGGAATAAAGAAATTACCAACAAAGAAAAGTCCTGACCCAGATGGTTTCACTGGAGAATTCTACCAATCATGCAAAGAAGAGCTGACACCAGTCCTACTCAAACTATTCCAGGACATAGAAAAAGATGGAATCTTCCCAAATTCATTTTATGAAGCAAACTTGATACCAAAACCAGGCATAGACACCACTAGAAAGGAAAATTGCAGACCAATATCCCTCATGAATATAGATGCAAAAATCTTCACAAAATCCTAGCCAATAGACTTGAACGAAATATCAAAAAAATAATACATCATGACCAAGTGGGATTCATAGCACTTATGCAAGGATGGTTCAACATTACAAAAAAAAATCAGTTTAATCCATCACATAATTAAATTAAAGGAGAAGAATCACATAATCATATCAATAGATGCAGAAAAGACATTTGATAGAATTCAACACCCATTCCTGATAAAAGTTCTCAGCAAAATAGGAATAGAAGGGAAATTCCTCAAGAAAATAAAGAACATATATGCAAAACCCTCAACCAACATTATTCTCAATGGAGAGAGACTGAAACCATTTTCCTGTGAACAGAAACCAGACAAGGATGCCCTCTACCTCCAGGTCTGTTCAACATTGTATTGGAAGTCCTAGCCAGGGCAATAAGGCAAGAAAGGGAAATCAAAGGCATCCAAATTGGTAAGGAGGAAGTAAAATTATCCCTAGTTGCAGATAATATGATCCTATACATACAAAACCCAAGAGACTCAGCAAGAAAATTACTGGCACTTATTGAAAGATTTAACATAGTGACAGGATACAAGATTAACATACAAAAATCAGTTGAATTCCTCTACATGAGCAAAGAGGTCTTGGAAAAGAAAATCAATACCATTTACAATATCTACCAAAAAGATAAGATACATGAATAAATCTCACCAGGAACACAAAAGACCTATACAAAGAAAACTACAAAACACTACTTCAAGAAACTATAAGAGATCTACGTAAGTGGCAGAACATACCATGCTCATGGATAGGAAGATTAAACATTGTGAAAATATCCATACTACTGAATACATTCTATACATTCAATGCAATGCCAATCCAGATTCCATTAACATTCTTTAAAGACATGGGAAAACCAATCTCTAATTTTATATGGAAAGGTAAGAGACCTCAGATAAGCAAAGCACTATTGAAGAAGAACAAAGTAGGAGGTCTCACACTCCCAGATCTTAAAACCTATTATACAGCTACAGTTGTCAAAACAGCCTGGTAATGGTACAATGATATATACATAGACCAGTGGAACAGAATTGAGAACCCAGAAACAGATCCATTGACTTACGGTCAGCTGATCTTTGACAAAGTGCTGAAATCCATTAAATGGGGAAGAGATAGTCTCTTTAACAAATGGTGCTGGCAAAACTGGATATCCATTTGCAGAAAAATCAAACAAGATCCATACCTCACACCATACACAAAAACTAACTCCAGATGGCTCAAAGATTTAACTGTGAACCCTAAATCTATTAAGTTCAGCAAAGAAAAAATAGGAGTAATCTTAGGGATTCTAATTTATGGCATAAATAGACTATTAAGAATAACCCATGATGCACAAACAGCAGAAGATAAGCTAGATGAATGGGGCCTTGTATAAGTTAAATTCTTATGTGCTTTAACAGACTTATCCAATAGAGTGAAAAGAGAACCTATAGAATGGGAAAAAATATTCAGCAATGACATATTAAAAGGACTTATCTCTAAAATTTATAGAAAATTTCAACCCCTCAACATCAAAAAGACAAACAAGCCAATTAAAAAATGGGCAAAAGACATGAACAGACACTTCACCAAAGAAGATACTCAGGCAGCCAACAAACACACGAATAAATGTTCACGATCATTAGCCATTGTTGTTATGTGCCATCAAGTCAGACCCAACTCATAGTGACCCTTCCTTGGGTTTCCGAGGCAGTATCCCTACGGAAGTAGATTACCCAACCTTCCTTCTGAGGAGTGGCTGGTGGGTTTGGACCACCAGCCTTCTGGTTAACAATCAAGTGCCTTAGGCACTATGCTACCAGAGCTCCCATTAG